AGGAAGCAGAGACAGGACACCTGACCCAAACTGACCAAGGAGGTATTCCATACCACAGCACGTCATGCCCAGGAGGTAACTGGAGAGTTACCCGGAAGGGCTAGGGTGGACTGCAGGGTTGGAGGAGGTATCGGTCGGTGCTTGGTCGGGCTGGGGGGGCGAGTTATTGGTCGCCTGGTGATGGGGTGTTGTATTCTCTTCCCTTGTTATTTCCTTTATCATTACTATTATTGGTGGTAGCAGTAGTGATTTTTGTTATACCTTAGTTACTAAACTGTTCTTATCTCAACCCGTGGGAGTTGCATTTCTTTTTGATTCTCCTCTTTGTTCCCCCAGGAGTAGGGGGAGGGCAAGAGGGGGGGGAGTGGGTAACAAGCTGTCTGGCTGGGTTTAAACCACGACACATGCGCAGGGAAGAGGGAGGTCATAACATGTCTATGCTGCCATCACCACTGGGAAAGGACATAGATACTGTAGGTGCTGCATTTACACATCTTTACAGACCAAAGCAGCAATGCAAAAAGAAACCCCAGCAAACACAGACAAAGAAAAAGGCAATGGAAAGAACTGTGATAAATCATCCAAATTAATCCCTGCTGTAAGACAGGATCAGCTATGAGGTTATTTCTGGGCAAGGTTTGTCCAACTTGTCTTTAAAAACCTTTCTTATCAAAGCTTCTCCTAGTGCCTGAACAATCCAGTCCAGCTTCTCCTCTCTCCTTGCTACACGGAAAGGTTTTTCCCAGTGTCATATCTGGATGAGCTCTGCCACTCAGCTAAACACAAAGTGAGGGCTGGTGCACGTATGAGTCTCCTTAAATCCCATCTATTAATGAGGACAGACTGCTTGGGCTGCAGTAAGGTTAGTAAGATGGGTTTAATAAGAAGCCCTCTGGATGCTGCAGGCTCACCGTGCTTACTCTGCACCGTGCATACAGGCTCCTCCCTTCCCTGAGGAATTCCTGGCAGCCCTCCCACTGCCGCCACTTTCTGTCATCATCAGAGCATTTCACCTCTCCTGTTTCACTCTGCTGCTCCTCTCAGAGGAGGACGACTGCCTGTTCCCTTTGGGGTTTCTAAGCAGCCTGAAGCCTGCCAGGAGCTGAATTATCATGCCTGAGGTGCTGCAAGCCCTCGTGGAGTATCGTAGAAGTGACTCCTGCCTCTAACTCCGAAGTCTCCTGCTCCATCACTTGGCTGCAGAAACAACATTCATTGTTTTCAAGAGCTTGTTACCATCGAAATAAGAACCAAGAGGGACTGGCTGGTGCCACCTCCTTTGCACATAGCAGGCATGGCACTGCTGGGCAGCATTGAGAAGTAGGTTGGTGTCTGGGATTGAGCCACAGCATCCTGGTGCTGAGAGCAGGGATTTCCCTAGTGTCCTTCCAAATTGTAGTGGAAGTGTCTCTGTTTCCTGTAACACATGAAAAGTGATTTCTTCCATTTGATACAGTTCATCAAAAGGATTCATCTTTTAGAATGATGTCAAAAATACTGAACTTCTGACCAAAAGGAAGGCATATGAGAAGGAAAACCATAGGAAAGAAAAAAAGAAGGAAAAACCCCAACCAATGAACAAACCCCAACTTTTAAAGCTTTGAAAGCTGATTATCACAACTTCATCCAGGATAGGGCACTATGTACCCTCTTGCTTTATTTCACTGACGCCAGGAGACTTTTAGTCCAGAGGATGTACCAAGTGATGCCTCCATTTAGTGGCAAGCTGCCAGGAAAGAAACCAAAAAACTCCGTACATACATCTATCGCAGGTTGTGGTGAGCACAAAACAAGAATAGCAAGCCAAGAAACCTTCACATTTTGCAGGAATGGAGCTTCCATTCACTTACACAAGCTAAACATATCATTCAAAAGCATTTTCTCATGGGAAAAAGAAAGTAATCAGGAATTGAATTAAAATGGTCAGAGCTGATTATTTTGCCCACTTGAGATGCTTTCAGAGATTTGTTTGGGGCAGAGGAGCCTGACAAAACCACACCATTTTGAAACAGAGATTGATTTCTTATACATTCAATGATAAATAAACCACATTCATGTTGTATGATTCTGTGGCATTATCTGAAGTCTATTGTAAAAAATGGGCTATCAATTTTTTTCTGAAGAATAAATAAGCTTGGTATAAGTGTGGCTGTATTCAGACTCATCAGGAGCATGTTTCTCCCTCTTAAATTTACATACCCCGATGTCTTCAAATCCAGCTCTAAATCCACTTTGACAGTTCCATCTAGATGAACAGACAAGACACACCAACCTCTCCTACTTGAATTAATGGAGGATATATTAAACAGCATCTCCTTCATAATGTGCATGCCAAAACTACATACTTTATCCAAACCTACTCCATTTAAAAGGGGCAAACAATCCTGGGGGACTAGGGAGGGCAGGAACTCTCCCTGATGCTAACCAACAGCTTTAAATATTGTCTTCAAATGTAGCTGGCATCAAACGTATTTAAAAGTTCAGTGGGGTAGGAACAGCTATATTTGGGTTGCAGAAAGGTCAGAGGAATGCAAGAGAAGCACTGGTGTTCCAAGGCTCTTGTAAGGATGCTGAGCTTGACAGGGCTTTTCAGGAAAGCACCGTTTTAGTAGAGATGATGGTAGATGGCTCTATCATGATTATACATACTAACTAAAGGGCTCCACTTGTTCATTAACAATATGGCTTTTCTACTGCTTGGAGCTGTGGTGTTGGGAATCTTTCATCACAGAGAAAAACCCATTTTTGGTTGGTTTTAGGGGTTTGGTTGTTGGGCTTTTTTTGTTTGGGTTTTTTTGGGGGGTGGGGGTTGTTTTTTTGGGGTTATTTTTTAAGTTAAATGAAATCCTATTTTAGCATACCTGTGCAAATAAAGAAGCAATAATTTTCTGTTGCTGTCTTGAAAAGCACATGAAATAAAACACTTTAATGGCAGTGAATTACGCACTCAGGTAACTAAAGCTTTGCATGGTAATGAGGGACTGTGGGAAGAGGGGTGTACCAGGCTGCCCCTTCTTAGCTCAGAGAACATTTGGAGTTTAGCCTCTTGCCCCCCTGGAGGAAACATGCTGTACTCATAGCATCCACAGTGGATCTGCCTCACACGCCCCCTGCCTGTGGCTGCATCTGGGGCTTAGCAGCTCTCAGCCAGGGCGACGCATGCCATGGCTCCAAGTATTTCCAGCAGCACCGCAGTTTCAAGTAGGCTTTAGAAGCACAGTGTTTCAGACACACTGGAACCTCTAACCTCTCTGGTGCAGGAGCTTACTGCTCCCCATGCAAGGGGAATATTTGGCCATGCCATCCACATCTGGGTTTTCTCTACTGTTGGTTAAGTGCAACAGAACTCAAAGAAGAGGAAAAGCACACTAATCTTATTTACTACAGCAGCTTTCACTTGTTTGCTGCACTGCCTGCTTTCCCTTGGGTGCAGCTGCATGTTCAAACTAGAGAAAGCAGGTGGACTTTGCTCTTGTTGGCAATCTTAAATAAGTACATACATTGCTTACCGCTTCATGAATGCACAATGCCAACTTCAGCATTGCCACCACTGCTTTCAAGACAGATTCCACAAGGCCATACTGAGTCCAGAAGATAAACGGAGCCATGTGCTCAGTAGTACCACAGAAGTCCTAGCAAGCCTGAATTTAATGTCTACTCCTTTGTTTTCAGCAGTTAGAGAAGACTACACTCTGCAACCCTGCTGGTTTCTTTCAGCCCTACACTTCTCTTAGCAAAATGAAGAGATTTAGCCATTACCTTTCACTTAGGCAAAGGTAATGTAGGTACGTCTGTCAAAAATAACCTTCTATAAATCAGTGCATATAATCATGCCTGCTATGACTGAAGAATCGTCCTTCATTATCTCTGAAGACAAACCTCAATTAACAGTGAATGTAGCTGGGTTGTGAAGTTTAAAAGCAAAGAGGCTGCAGGGGTTAGCGTATCAATGAAGCACGATAATTGTTTTACTGTGCTTATTATCTAGCCCCTAAAGAAAGCAAGGTCAGTAAACAAGCACTAGTGATATTCTAGGTAGAGATTATTAACGTTAACATGGCTATGTAGAATAGGTAAAAATAGGAACTTCTATGAAGTACGAACGCTGCCATTTTTCTTCAGTGTTCACTGAAGACCAATAAATATACCTATGGTTTTGATACCTCCATTATTTTTTAAGAACCTTCTCTTCAAAAGGAACCAAGACATTCAAGGGGTAGTTAGCCCTGCCACTGCCCAGCACAGGCAATTTCTAATAGATCTCAAATGAGAGTAAGGCAATTGAAGGTGCTAAAAGAGACCAGAAATGAACACCCTGTGGTAGCCCTTCTAGAAACCTTTGCCATGTGTAGTGGCAAGGCCCAGGAATCTCTTTTCTTCTTACGGAGAAGAGGAGCAATGCTCTTGGAAGACATTTTTTTTGTCCTTGAGATGCAGAAGGATGGATCTTTGCTGGGTTTTTTTGGTTTGGCTGGTTTTGGCTGGGTTTTTTGGGGGGAAGGGCAGACTTGGCTGAAGGTGTACCCACCTCAAATCTTAAACAACCGGAAGTGTCTGCCTGCAAGGACTGCTGTTCTCTCACAATGTCATCTGCAAGAATTGTGTTGGTGCAGTTAAGTGCTGTAAAAAAGGGTTTTGGCTTCATATTTAAGAGATGAGAAAGATGTCTCTATTGTACTGTACTAAAGTTCCCTACTTTCAAACCCATTTTGCCCTATTTCCACAGGTGTCTGGAAAAAGGGAAGGCACTCTGTAAACACCTTTGTCATCATCTAGGATCATAAAGATATAAAGGTTGTAAGATTGAGTCTGAAGACCACTTACATCTGATGGTTCTGCTTTCTTATGCATATGGCTTCCTCTGGTCAACTGCCTATCTTCCTGAACTTAGAGGTAAGATTGATATAATATATGAGGACCTGGATACCACAGCAGAAGTTAAATGCAGAAACAGAAAACCAAAAAAAAAGAAGACTGACAAACATGACACCATACAAGAGTTTAGATTCAACAGAAGTTTATACTTTTGTTTGCTTCCTCTTGAGTTACAAAAGCAATTAGCGTTTTTAAGTACACGATTCAAAAAACAGTGTTACACGATTGACATGTTTTCAGTCCATTTCATAAATGGCTTTAGTAATATCAAATACAATTCCTACAATTACAGCAGTTCAACGTTTATATGAAAATATTTATATTAAAAGGTTTGTAAAGTTATGCTCTCCACTTCCTCCCACATATTTAAGTGACATTCTTGAGATGTGTTGTACTCAGACATACACCTGTTTTAGGATTCAAGCCATAATCTTCTAAGGGACTTTCAAAGGGATCATCATTTTAGATCTGTGGCATTTTCTTAACAGGAATGCAGATGCAGATTCTCATTGGAAAGACAGCCCCATTTCCAAATTAGCCCAACAGATGATAATCTAACGAGAGGCAACGTGATCTATACCACACATTTTATGCTACATAAAACCTAATGAGGTGCTAAAACAGTAGTGAAAAATTATGTTTGGCTAGAGGCAAAAGTTCAGCTCTCCTTCCTTCCACTTCTTTGATTTAATGAAGACACACACTTAATTAACTGCTTTGGCAGGCCAGCAGGCTATCTTTGCTTAATAATACCATTAGGAATTCCACAAGATTTCAGCTTCTAATGTTAAGGATCTTCAACATCAGCTTTTTAAGAGTGAACCTCAAGATTATTTTCCTTTTCAAAAGATGCTTTTTCACTGCTGCATCAGGCATAACAATACACAAACACGCACCATCAAGTCCAAACTGGGCACTTATCTCTCACAGCAAAACTTAGTACTTACGTAGCACTCTGCTAACAAAATGTTATGCAGAGCAACCCTGAGTTCACAAGTAACAGAAAACTGCCTTCCCCATGTGCCTGCTTCAGGCTTGCCACATACATCCATTTGAATTTACTCAAAAGGCGCAACAGCTCTTCATCATCTTACAGGTCTGAGTTGTGAAAATGCAGCAAAATTCTAATTTCATATTCACAACAGGGAGCAAAGAATCTAAAGGTCACATCGGGTCATATTCATCCTTCTTCACCCTTAATTATATTCCTCTTTTTGGCTAGTTCAACACTCTTTCTAGATCTAGCAATCCACAACAAAGCAACATCCAAGAGCAACATTTGAAAGATGGCTGGCTTGTGTCTTGGAATCCACTTTTTTAACACTTAAAGAAGAGACTACTGCCATAATCCAACTAGTTTCCTCCCCTGCTTTATGCAGTATAAAATATAGCATAAAATAGAATTATCAGCTTCCTGCAACTAGCTAACATTTTGGTTAAGGGCAGGGGTGGGGGGCAACCAGAAAGCTAAATGTGCCCTTACTGGACATTAACATGCTCAAGTCTAAAACTGCAGATTCCCACACATCTGCTTAACAGCCTAAGTTACTGTAGTAACAGATTGCCTGAACCAGAGAGGAGCTACACATGAACACAGAGCCCTAAAATATCAGCCTGGACATCAACTTGAATGAGACAGCTCAGAACTGGATCACTCCCAACAGCTTTTCTTCTTCTCCAATGTGCATAAAGTCTCTAATACACCTAATTCTTGTAGTCAGACTGGAAGTTCTACTGTGTCCTAGGGTCAGGTGTAGCAGTCATTTTTCTCCTTCTTGGTAGTTGGTAAAGTGCCGTTTTCAATTTAGCCTGAAAAGAATGCTGATAACACACCGATGTTTTGAGTTGTTAAGTAATACTTACCCTGATCAAGGACTTTTCAGTCTCATGCTCTGCCAGGGCAGAGGGGCACAAGAAGCTGGGAGGAAGCAGAGACAAGGCACCTGAACCAAACTAGCCAAAGAGGTATTCCATCCCACAGCACGTCATGCCAGTATAGAAACTGGGGGGAGTCACCTGGAAGGCCCAGATTGCTGCTCAGGTCAGGCTTGGTATTGGTCAGCGGGTGGTGAGCAGTTGTATTCTCTTCCCTTGTTATTTCCCTTACCATTGTTATTATTGGTGGTAGCAGTAGTGATTTGTGTTATACCTTAGTTACTGGACTGTTCTTATCTCAACCCGCGGGAGTTACATTCTTTCGATTCTCCTCAGCATCCCTGTGGGAGCCAGGGGAGAAGGTGGCGAGGAGTGAGAGACCAGCTGTGTGGTTCTGAGTTACCGGCTGGGCTTAAAACAGGACGAACTGAAACATTAGCAAATGCATCACTACTCCACAGCTTTGGTGCTACTGTATGCTTCACTAGAGAAAAACCTGATGGTTCAAACTCTATCAAGCAGAGATCATAAACTAAACAAAGCCGCAGTCTCACACACTGTTAGCAGGTGTTCTCACCTTTAGACTACAGTATCACTTAGTCAGCTCCCAGTCCTTCTCCTTCTGATCTTGCTTCAACCTCAAAAGACAGTAGCAACCTTCAGGAAATGGCTGCAGGATAAGAAACACTGCAAAAGAAGCACCTCCAAATACAAACAGGGTAAGATGATTACGAGCAAAGCAGGGTGGAATCTAAGACAGAGCCTCGCCATCTGCACTCCACGTTTACTTGTAAAGGCAGTTCTGTGATCAACATACTTACTTCACGCTTGGCATGACTATTTTTGTGGTCCTTTGAGGCACTGAATATATCTAACACATGATGCAAAGCCCTTGTGTTTTGGATTCCAATATTGGGTTTGACATAAAATTGTAGGGGATGTGACTCACAGTAGTGCTGTGAAGTCAGCCTTGGATCACAGCCTTCTATCACAGCCTCCAGAAAAACTAAAGATGTGGCTGCTACAGGCATACTAGTAGATTACATGATCTGAAATGACTGGCATTTCATAGCCTCAAAGACTCCCCTGCACCTTACAAATGAACATAGCATGAAAAATACTGCACAAAATAAGAAAAAGTTATGCTGGTGATTGTGTTCACAGAAAACCAATTTGCGCATCAAAGTGAAAAGGTATCTTCTGTTTGAAGTATCCCTTATGACTGGACCATCTTGTACACAGGGTCTCCAACTTGAATCGTTCCAGTTTTGTCAACAGCAAAGTATCTCCCAAAGAGAGGGCTGGATTTGTAGATGTGTCGCTCAGATGGATCACATAAGCGGTAACTGCAGAGAGAGAGCACTTCTTTAGAATCAAAGAAGTCTGAACATCAAAATACCAGTGATGAGAGAGAAGACATATGAACACTGATGCCCTGTTTTGGTCACCATACTAGACTAAAACTAAGTAAGTATTATGATTAAAGAGAACCAAGCAGTTCAAGTGGAACAAAAAAGAAGCCTGTCTTCACACATCCATATGTAACACACATACAAAAGGCTTTATAAAAAAGAGATGCCAGTGTTGCAAAGTTAGATCTTTAAATAACTTAAATACCTGTTACCCCAGTGTTTACACTAGTACAGATGAAAGAGACAGGGAATGGAAAGTTTGCAAGAAAGAAGAGAGGACTTCCTGAATTTTCTTACCATAAAGAACTGCAGAAAGCAGAATGGAAGCCAATACACACATACCTTTACGCTGCAGTATTATGTCCCACACATACTTTTGAAACACTAGTCTAACATCTGTTGTGATCTAACCTAAATCTACTCCCACAGCTTAAGAAGCATTTTTACAACCTTTTCAATGTTTCCAAAGGCTCCTTCCTGTCCAGCACCCCAGTGTCTGGGTTAACAGTTGTTAAAATACACCTGCAATGTCAGACAGCACGAAATCAATAATGGCTTCTTACCATAAATCTCCATACATCTATATAAGAAAACAGTCTCAAATGTTTACCTGGCACAACACATTGTCCCCTTCATTTCCACATCGCCAATAAGAACATCCTCCCAGGTGTCCTGAGGGAAGGTAAAAATTATGCACAGATTAGACATATCCACATGCAACCATTTTTCCAGGAGGGGCACAATCATTCCTAGAAGAAGCAGTACCATTCCAGGTGATCACCTTCACTTGTGCCTTCAAAGTAAGTACACTGTATTATGGTACTATTTTAATGAAAACCCTATGGTCACTGCACTCACCACCAAGGTAAGGGCCTACTATTAACTAGATCTGGAAAGAAGTATATACAAGCAATAGATCCTGTTCTGCAGTGTGCACTTGTCTGAACCTAAAGCAAGCTCATTCTTGTTGTATGTGCGACAATCTGATCTACTGAACTCCAGTGAGTCACCAATTTTGCAGAAAGGAAGTTTTTAGTAAGTGAAGTAAGTTTTCACTGCTCATCTACACAAGCTTCCTATTACAATCCCTCTTGGAACACAAAAGCCCATTCCCACTTTAGGAACTTCTTAGATTTGTGAAATAATCAGACCTATCCAGAGCAAATTCTTTGGAAGAACAGTAACATAGCATAAAAACATGTAAACACCACCATTCCCCATTCACTTCACCACCAGATACCTTCCTAGAGAGTGTTTTTTGAACTACCAGGCACATTGTCAGAGATGCAGTGACAGACCCCAGCATTGCACAGGTCAGTCTTCCTCTTGTGCCAAGGAAACAATGTGCTATAAAACATCACATTGTTGTTAGTTTACTAATTGTTCATCTATATTATTAATTGATCAGCTACAGCATGCACAGCTTTCCCTAATTTACACTTAAAGATGAGCTTTCAGTAGCAAGCCTGTCATTTAAACACACTTATTTTATACTTTGCTAAGGTAAGTAAGTGCTCGCAGACTTGTCTCCTCCCTCAATGTTTCACAAACACTGATGTGAGCAGAGCTGTATCTCTGTTAAAATTACAGAATAGCAGCTTTCCTCCTCTTTGTAGACAGAAGGAAACAGAGTTACAAAGAAACACAGGCACGCCTTCAAAAGATATTTAAGACAGCTATTTTACCTCCTCAAAAGCACTGCAATCCGTCACAAAAATATTTGGCCTGAAGTTCTGTATCTTCACTTTCTTCTCCAGCTTGGCATTTAAATCTTCCAATGAAGCTTCCGAGATGACCAAGACTGGGCTACAGTCAGGATAGGCAACCTACAGAAACAAACACAAAGAAATCCCAAGGCTCTAAAGCTGCTGAAAGAGCATGGAAGGAAAGTTACTGAATGGCAAAAAGACTGGTACATTGGAACCAGTGGCCACATACTAGCCTCACTGTTAGGCTGCTGCATTCAGGTTTTAAATTTTCCTGGAAGCAGGTTAGTAAGTAAAATAACACACCCTCTCCTATTTCAGAAACCATGGCAATTTGCATTTGCTCGAATTGTAAAATTAAACTTCTACATACAGAATTAAACCAAAATTATATAAGCTACCACCACTTCTCACAAAATAATACCACATGCAAGTCCCAGGCATGTATTCTAGTTATTACAGAGAGACCTAAATATATCAATAAAACACGTTACGGCAAGTTATGAAAGGTACTTAAGACATTTAGGGACCTGCTGAATACATAATGAATCTATGTTCTCACAAGACCACAAGGAGCTTCGCATTACAGAATAGCAACGCTATGTTGCAACTGTCCATTTGTCAGTTTAACCTTGTAAGTAGGAGGTCTGACATTTTAGCAAACAAGGCAAATGAACTAAATATATAAATGTATATTTATTTATAAATAATTAATTAATATTAAAAATAATAAATCATAATATATTATATACAATAATATATAAATACATAGATAATAAACAATATAAATAAATAAATGCTTATTTATAAATAAATGAACTAAAAGAAAACTCCAACATATGTTAGTTCCACAGAAAAAGGAAAATGCAGTAAGAGTTTTAGGCCTCCTCCTGTCTTACTCTTACATTATCCTTACCCCCTCTTTGTCTATGCCTTTACAACCACAAGAAGATGAGTGTTGAAATATCTATGTAAACAATTCTGCCCTCTTTTCATGCTAGGATTCCTGAATGTCATCCTTCCTAATCTGACATCCCTTTTGCCAAAAGCACGAATTCTGCACTGGTCTCAGTGCATTTACATAATGGTTATATATATTTATTATTTGCATAATAAATGCACATCTATAAAAGTCCATAACTGAATGTGTCTTCTCTCTCTGCAACAATGAGCAAAATCACTGCCCTATTGATAACAACATCATATCACTAAGGCAAGGTTCCCACAACTTCCTAAAAAAGCTTACATGCATCAGGAACAGTTCAAACCACCTTCATGTGAGAGCATTATTCAAACAAGAAGGGCATCAGTGGCTCCAATGATATGAGGATGACTGTGCACAGTATCTCCTTTCCCTACCTGCTTTAACTTTCTCCAACATCACACCTCCAAGCCTCTTCCCAGTGACTGAAACCTCTGTAACCTTCTTTGGATTTTAATTCTAAGCCCACAGCTGTAAATCCCTGGGTTAAGCAATGTTCCTTAAAACAAACACAACCCAAATCAGTACACTCCATGACCCAGGTTAAGGGACAGGGAATGGAGGTTTTCTATGCAACACAGACTGCACCATCAAAACATCTTTAAAAACTTATTTTTATTTCTATTAACTGAAGCACAAAAGGAATGCTATTCTGCAATGCAAGAGTTCCTCTTCAAATATCAGTATCATGCTCTTTAGCTGTGAATGGTCAATAGCTTGGAACAGATTGAAAGTAAAATTTAAGCAAGCCATCCCATCACAGAAAAGGAGAACATTCACGTGGTTTAACTGCATGACTACATACCTTGCTAAACAGAGCCTTAGTCACCAGTGCTGGAATGGCAGGATTTCGTGTGTGGGTGTGAAATGATTAAAAGAAAGTACATCTGATAAAGAAATGTTCATTTACCTCATCTGTGGTTCGGAAGAGATTTATTATGTCTTTTGACTTTCTTGGCACCATGGAGGGCTCAAAGTGCACCAGGCGATACGGCTCCGAATTGAGAAAAGTGGTGATCCACTGAGCCACTTCATCTCCACAGTCCCTGCCTTGGATATCCAGTCCAAACACCCTGAAGAGTCAGAAGACACATTATCAAGCATCTACTCTTGCATATACTCATCACTGCAACACCAAAAGATTTCTATCCAGAAATCAGCTGAAAGGTAACTGATTTCAGAAAATGACTGAAAATGATGTGGTTTGTTACTGTCATTGACATTTGTAAGTGTTACTAATTGTAAATATCCCTGACTATTAAGGAAGCTTTCCTTCAGATTTTAGTGCTGTAAAAATTTTAGACAAAGCTGTGGAACTCTAAAGCTCAAACTTAGCATACAGAATAGCTCAGTATCTTAGAAGAGATTTTAAGATTTATAATAGAAGCAAAGTCCACGGGGCATAAAAAGCCATTGGCATCAGAATACAAACAAGTTTATACAAGGAACACTTCCCTGGCAAGAAAAGGTAAACTTCAACTCAACCTTTCAAAAAACTTCAACCAGCCAAGAACAGTTTTAACTACTCTCTTCAAAGCAGCGATTTTGACCCAAACACACTGCAGTTCCCTCTACCTTTGCAATCGTGCTCTGGCCAGCTTAAAGCATAGAGATGCCCAGGCAGTTCATCTAGGCTGAGCCCAGTTCCTAGGACCCCTCCTTTATTCATCTGGGGAAGAGATAAATCAATAGTGCGCTGCCAGCAGTATCACTGTTCTGTTTACTGGGATCCCTGTATCAACTGTGACACAGGCTAGGATTAAACGCTGCCGAGACCATGTTCAGCTGCCTTTCTCTTCACTCCATTCTCTCAGTCTCTGTTGCCTTCTGGTTTGAAGGACAATGGAGGTGGGGGTCTAACAGCTTCCAATTCACTGTTTTCTACCCACGAGGCAGATGTATCCTGAGCGGCCAGTGGTATAGGGATCCACGGGACTAGATCATGCAATGTAAGTACTGACAAAGTACACATACTGACAAAAGGCACAAATGAAGAACATGAGGCTTCATAACCAGAGGAATATAGAAACCCTCCAACATTTGATCAAATAGAAACTTTGCCTACACAATGGCTTCAGTCCTACACTTCCTTATACTAGGAAGTCCCACACTTCCCCAAACACAAGATTCTTAAAAACCAGTGTAAAATCTGCAACTGGATTTATCAGTTCTAAAGATTAGCACAGCCTTTTACAGCCAGATGCACTACTGCACTGCCTTACCTTCACAGCACCAGGCACAAGCCACCATGAATCTGAAGGCATCTTGCCTGCCCAGTGGCAGAATAAATACAAGCCTGTGCAGACAGCCTTGCCAGCAGAGCATACTGTGCTCCCACTCACAAGCTGGAAGGGAAGAATCCAGGAGCAAAAGCCAAATCTTCATTTGCTGCAATACAATACTATTCCCAAACCTCATTCTTATTAATGGCTGAATGGATCAGAAAGAACCAGCCTTGTGCTGACAAATGGCAAACTTCAGGATTCTTCCTCAGGGTTTCTGTAGCCCTCTGGTTATGAAGCGCAAGGCAATGTTTAACTACAGGCATTGCTAATTTCACAGCCTATGACACCACCCACAATGCTACGCAACTTGGTAAATTTTAAAGTCCAACTGCATGCATCTAACTTTTGCTTATTTGCATTCCCAAATTCCAGCAAGTTTAAAACCAGAGAATGCAATAGTTTATTAAGGAAACAATAACAAAGAGAAAAACGAATCGCTGAGATCTGAAACTGGAAAATCCAAGATAATCTGTCATTGCTGAAACACTCTTAAGTCTATTTAAATATTTTCCTAATGGCACAAGTTTTAGAAAAATAACACATTGAAACCAGCATGGTTTTGTAGTGTATGTGTCATTGGCTAATATATAAGCGTTACAGACAGAGTTTTGAAAGACCATCCTATTTCTCCATGTGAAATGCAATCACATGTAACTTGCACCTGGCTTGTGTAAACAGAGATACAAAGCTATGCTGCTCAAGGGTTTCCACAGCAACATATTTATGCCAAAAGCTAGTCCTTTTTTCTCCGCTATACAACGGAAAAACACAAGCATTTTTGTTGGAATCAACACCATTTACAGTTACTAAGCAGACATTTTCAAGAGAAAATGTTTCATGCTTCCTTCTGGCCATTTTCCAGCATGGATTTCAATACATGGATAGAATAACCAGGCCTGCATTCATACAACAAACATTTAGGCACACAGCTGAATGACTGTGCTTGTACCCAGTAGCACCTACAGGGCATAATTTGCTCTCTGGGGATGCCAGTCTTTCCCCCATGAACACAGAGTGAGCTTCCAGCAACCAAGTTTTCAATTTAGGCACCTTGGTTAAATGCTTACGGGTAGGAGTGAGGGAATCTAAACTGTGACATTTCACCAATTCCAAACAGCCAGTGTGTATCCAAAAATGCTGATGCTTATACTAGTGGTGACCAAGAAATACCAACATGCATGACTGAGGCTCGGAGATGCAACTACCTACCAGAGGAAAAACAAAAACACTAGAAGTGAACACAAATGAGTAATCATGACCTTCTATGAAGACTAAAGACCACAGTTCACTTGGCAGATGTATACGTATGGTTCTGCATATTGTGACAGCTTTTCCCAAGATTTGTTTTCACCGGTGTTTTGAAGATTAAACAACCCTGGCCTCCTGCATAACACATGGCAGAGAATTTCACATAATGGTTTGGGTTGGAAGGGACCTTTAAAGGTCATCTAGTCCAATCCATCCACTAGACCAGGTTGCTCTAAGCCCCATCCAACCTGGCCTTGGACACTGCCAAGGATGGGGCAGCCACAGCTTCTCTGGGCATCCTGTGCCAGTGCCTCACCACCTGCACAGGGAATAACTTCCCCTTATAGCTAATCTAAACCTACCCTCTTTCAGTATAAAACAACTGTCTCTTGTCCTTTCAGTAAAGGTTCTGAAGTCTCTGTTACGTTGATGGGGAAGTCAGACCCCCAAACCCATAAAAGCACCCAACTTTCACCCTCCAATTTCTGCATAAGAAAATGCAAACCATCACACAGTCTTGGAAAGCAAAGCTCCTAAGTGAGAGGCAGCACTCAGACAGAAAAGCGTAAAAAAAAAAAACCATCCCTTCTCGAGTACCTGCAGTTCATCACACGGTTTTTCCTGGGCAGCTTCACAGGCAAGCACAGCTTCTTCATTTCTGGTGCTTCCAAGGTCAGGTGCCCATCCTCAGAGCTGACAGAAACGAGGACGAGCCGGGGCTCCTGCCGAGCTGTAACCATGTGCCCGTCCTCCTTGGTCACAAGCCAAAACCTGCGGCGGGACAGGGGGAACAGAAACGCGTCCAACAACGTTAAAGGCCGACACCAGGGAAAGGGAACTCCGGCAGCCGGGCACCGCAAGCGCCTCTTCGTAGGCCTTAAAGGAACCACCTGAGAGACGCGGGGCAGAGCCGATCCCCGCAGGGGGGTCTCGGAGAGGCCCAGCCCGCCCCGCCCCGTACCTGTCCCGCAGCTCGCCGCTCCGCAGCCCCATCGGCGTCACCTGCGCCTCCCGCACCGCCACCCCCCGGCACGACTTCACCGGGTACACGAAAATACTCATCACCGTCCCCACCCGCTGCAGGCGCCGGCGGCGGCCCGCCGCTCGCCTCAGCCCACCGACCCAGCGCCATGCCCCGACCAGGGCGCTCAGCCCCAGCAGCGCCGCCGCAGCCCCCCACAGCCAGCCCGCCCGCGGTGCCCGCACAGACAGGCCCAGCGCGCTCCGCGCCCCACTCATGGCGCCCAGACCCCAGCGGCGGCGGCGCGGAGCCCCAGGGGGCCGGGGCTGGGGCCGGGGCTAGGGGCGGGCCGTGGGCCGGCAGCCGCCCGCCTCCGGCTTTGTCGCTCGGGGCGCATAACGGACAGCGCTGAGGCCGCGCCCGGCGGCCTGCTGGGCCTCGGCGGGACCAGGGCCTTTCGTGGAATCGACTCGGAGGCTGGTTTGTGTAGGAAGGGATCTTAAAGCTCTTCCAGTTCCAACTCCGTGCCACGGGCAAGGGCACCTTCCACCAGACCAGGTTGCTCCAAGCCCGTCCAGCCTGGCCTTGAACACTGCCAGGGATGGGGCAGCCACAGCTTCTCCGGGCCCAGCACCTCGCCACCCTCACAGGGAAGAACTTCTTCCAAACACCTAATCTACCCTCTTTTGGCTTAAACCCATTGCCCCTTCTCCTGTCACTGTATGTCTTTTTTAAAAGCCCCTTTTTTCCTTGCCTTTAGGCACTGGAAGCTGCTCTAAGGTCTCCATGGAGCCTTCTCCAGGCTGAACAAGCCCATCTCTCTCAGCCTGTCTCCAGAGCAGAGGTGCTCCAGCCCCCGACACATCTCTGTGGCCTCCTCTGGACTTACTCCAGGAGCTCTTTCTTCTTGGTGGGAGAAAGAGTGTGATCACAGCGTGAAAAATAAAGTGGATGCTGTCAGTGTCCAGCTTGCCAAAATACAGGCAGCAAATGCTTTTCTTCTAATATTTGGGCTTTTATTAGAAGTGATGTTACAGAAAAAGTATGAACTGTGTGGAAATACGTGAGTGTGCAATTCAGCCACTTAGTTTGACTTGGTTAAGAAAGGGGAAACACATAGCCGGAGGTGAAGAGCCAAGGGGAAGGCAGCAAATGGCAGCACCTGAGGTTGGGGTGGGGGATCCCATTCCCATTTGGATACCTTGCTGCCTGGTGCATGGTGCCTGATGCATGGTACCATCTGGATGCCTTGCTGCCAGCTGCCTGGTACCAAACTCGTGAGGCTGCCTCTGAGAGCTTCCCTCTTACCAGCAGGGTCATGGGGAAGTCACTCTGTGGGACACCCAGCAGTGAGGCAAGTATTGTAGAACCATAGAACCACAGAGGGTTTGGGTTAGAAGGGACTTTTAAAGATCATCCAGGCCAGTCCTCCCACTAGAGCAGGTTGCTCCAAGCCCCTGTGTCCAACCTGGCCTTGAACACTGCCAGGGATGGGGCAGCCACAGCTTCTCTGGGCACCCTGTGCCAGTGCCTCAGCACCCTCACAGGGAAGAACTTCTGCCTATTATCAAGTCTAAATCTCCCACTTTAAATTCATTCCCTCTTGTTCTATCTCTCCTTGTAAAGAGTCCTTCTCCAGATTCCTTGTAGGCTCCCTTTAGACATTAGAAGCTGCTCTAAGGTCTCCCCAGAGCCTTCTCTTCTCCCAGTTCTATGATGTGACATCACAACAGAGGGTGGAGTGGCCAATGCCACCGTGGTCACAGGTCTGTCCTCACAGGCAGAGCAGGAGCATTGGCTCCTGATCCTCCCCAGCTCCTCTATTCAGGCTTGCAGGGAGCTGAAGGCCAAACTCTTAACTTTTTAGGATCAGTGTGCCAAGACCAGAGTCCCAGCAGGCAGAAGACAGGGACAGACAGTCACAGTTTCATTTCAGAGTCACAATGGATTACTGGAAGCAATATATCAACAGCATCCTGGTGGACAGGATCATTGAGGATGTGGCTATCGTGGGCCTCTCTGACAACAAGTGCGTTTGGGCAGTGAAGCCAGGAGGACTCCTTGCAGCCATCTCACCTCAAGAAGTGGGCTTGATCACAGGCCAGGATCGGAAGATGTTCCTGCTAACGGGAATCACCATAGCTGGCAAAAAGTGCAGCATGGTTCGTGACAACCTGCTGGTGGATGGAGACAATGTGATGGATGTCAGAAGCAAAGGCAATGACAGCAGATCCATCTGTATTGGCAAGACCCCCAGAGCCCTGATCTTCCTCATGGGCAAGAAGGGAGTCCACGGAGGAGCCCTCAACCAGAAGGTCCATGATATGATTGTGGGCATGAAAGTGTGAAGCAAACAGTGCTAAAGAGACAGACATCTTCTGCCTGGGCACAGGGGCACAAAGGAAGGAAATAAACCTGATTTTGTTGCTGATATCTTTGCCTGATTCTATCAGCTTTGGGAAAGGGCAGGAGCCCTGTTGTTTACCACTTTGCTGTTTATATCATGCCCTAATGCCAGTCATGGTTTCTGAGACCTTTCTCCTGCTACAGTAGGCCACAGCACTAAGGATAAGCAAGGCTTGTGTTTATTTTGTGTTTGGGCCTGGAACAAGCCCAGTTAATTTGGGAGATTAGATGTTGATCAGCAGAGTCTAATGCTGCTGTTGGATTGTGAGGGAGGCACATGCAGTGATAGCCTGCCACTGCTCACCTTCCAGATCATTCAAAGCACCTTCTTAGGCTACTTTGCTGAGCAAAATGGGTTTTCATAAGATAGTTATCTCTCTGGTGTGTGGGGGTGGATCTTCTGGTGGCAGGGGGATCTTCTGAAGGCTGCTTCCTTCCCATCTTGCTCAGTCACGCTGTTGTGGCCTCAAGATCACGGGTCCCTGTAAGCCCCCCAGGACTCCCAGGAGGATGCAGAGTTGTGCCAGACACTGCGGATTTCCTGCTCCATTCACCAATACAGCCCTCCCCTCCTTGTAACCCTAAATGGCCAGTCTGAAATGAGGCAGAACTGGTGTGCTTGAGATGGGACCAGTGCGGGGAAGACTTGAGGGGTATCTCTGTCAGGGGTGATCTCCCCACGTGTGAGCTTTCCTTGCTCCTGGTAGCAGTGAGCCTGAATCCATCACATGCCACCTTCTCGGTTAACATGGAGTCAGTGTTTTGTAATTGAATCGAGATCACACAGAGATCTTTAATGTGCAACTGCACCCAGAGGAGCACGGAAATGCTGTAAGGAGAACCAGGCCTCTCATGTATTAGCAAATGTTCAACAAAACTGCAGTGTTTAATTAGTAACCACTGTCTGATGAGCAGTGCTTGCAAGCATGAATTGAATTAACATAAGTACTAAAGGGATAAAAACACAAAACCACACGTTGAATTTACAGTCTAACGATAACTTGGTCACAAAGTTTTAACAAAGCCTGGGCTTTGCTGACAAACATTGATGCTTATTTTCACACGCTTAAGGGAAAAACGAGTCGCTATCTCCTGTGATTTCTTGAGCACTGGTAGTATTCTCCATTATGCAAATCACAGAATTCAGACAGCTTTTGCCCTCTAAACTTCATGAGGCATCAGAATGATGGGATTTGGAATAACATGAAAAAACGTTGGGTGATTTTCTGCTTGCTCCCCTTTAGGTGCCAGGGAAAACTGGGCTGGAGTGCATATATTCTTTACCAGCATGAGAATCTGAAGCATTACAGACCTATATGGTGTGATGGCGGTGTGAATAGCTACAGCTGCTCACTAACTACATATTATGGGCAGCACAATGGTGTACAAAATCAGATTATTTCGTTTGAAGGACTTGTTAACTGAATTCAGAAATAACTCACCTTTGGTAATGATTGAATATTATTTTAGAGAAAAAAAAAAAAGTAGTTCTAAATCCAAGAAGAACCTTGCATTTTCATTCCCTAAATCTACCAACCTGGAGCCTAAAGGGACTTTGTTCAAACCAGCACCAAAAAGCAGCTCTTACATTCAGTTCTGACTCTTCTTGGAGGCTATGGTGAGAAGGAGCTTAAAGAGGAATAACAGAAGGTGACAGCATCTGTAGAATCTCTCTTTTTCTGCTGTGATATAATATAAGATTATAAATAGCTTCAGAGAGAATCTGGTTGATGGGTTAACGCTTCAAGTCTAAGACTGCAGCCTTTGAGGAGAGCCCCTTTCATCCATACACAGGCACCTCTCAAGAAGCCTCCACTGAATAGCTTGACCAACAGGTTTGCTTAGTCCTTCATCCCAGGCACACCTCTGCTTACCTAAGAGCCACCAGCTCCTGCTGTACGGCAACAAGAATGGAGCCATTCAGACAAAACATAGGCACTGCTATTGTTACCATCCAAACAGCCTCTCGTGTGACAGAACTGTATTTGCTGTGCACAGCAAACCAGAATTTAAAGGGAAATGACTGTTGTCAATCACTTATAACTTCGTAACGCTGAAATACTGAATACAGCTAAAATTCTCCACACCCAGTTCTAGCCCCAGGCTCCTTGTAACGTGTCTGATCATATGAAGGATTCACAGTGCCAATCCCACAGCAGGCTGGGGCTGGGCTGTGTCAGTTATGAAAGCAGGCAATGCTGGCATATGTTGGAAAAACATAGTGTCAGCTTGGAAGCATCCACATGGCAAACTTGCAGCTGGAACACAAGGAAAAGTAATGACATATCTGCTTTCAGATGCAGAGGGAGATGGTTCTTCTAGAGGCAAATCTAGACTCCCTTCTAGCAGCGGCTCAGTCAGAGGATGAGCATCAATAATGAGGAAAGAGATGAAGGATTTTACTTGTTTCCACCAAAAAAGAAAAAAGACAAGTGACTGGGGAACTTGTAGGTCTTCAGTATGTGCACAGTGCTGACCCTGGGAAAGGCATAAAGTACCATCCTGAGGGGGTGGATGGACATTACAAATTCCCAGTGATAAAGACAGCAAAATGCTGGCCTAGATTAAGTGACGGGGTGTTTGGATGGAGCTAATTAATGTAAACTGGGCTTGTCTCAATGAAGGAATAGGGTTAAATGCCCTTTTCCAGGGATGTTCAGTTGTTTTTCCAGTGACTCTATAACTGAGCAAAAGGCAGGGATGAGGGGATGACATGGCTGAGTATGCAGTTTCAACATGCTGATTTCAACAAGATAGGATAAAAATTATATTACATCCACTCACACAGAGAAATTATATCCTCTTCCAAACTATGAACTAACAAATTCAAAAGGTTCATTTGCAGAGAGGAAGGGGTGATAAAAGCATTGCTGTTTCCTCTTAAAATCTTCAAGGAGATCAGAGTTCAGTGAGTCATGCACTAGAAATGAGCTCAGTGAAATATCTCAGGCGAATAATTGGTGATGATAGAATTAAAAATAGACTAATATCATTAATGATAGATGCCTTTTAATGGAGCCCCAGCAATGAGATAAAGGGATCCTTTTTCTGGTGAGGCTTTTCCTACACAGAGAATCATAAATATGTAAAAGCCAGGCAGGTTGTTGGCTGCTTTGTTGACTGTCAAGTCATATATGAAGATGAATTGAAAATTGCCCTTTTCCTCCAGTCAAATGTTCAACTTCAGTCTCTCTAAACTCATGAGGACAATACAGAAACGGTTGTTCCAGGCAGATATTCAGCCTGGTATTAACTAGTGCAGGCTAATTACATATATAAGTTCTCCCCATGTTCTGTAACTGTGGTTCTCTGGGTGAATATAATATCCATCAGACAGCTTCAGGAGTATGAGTAGTCAGGGTAGAGCTGCAGTGTCATCTGAGTAAGCAGGTAAGGCCCAAAGTAGAAGCTTTACTGGGGAGCAGTGCATCTCTTCTGCAGCACAAGGATTAACATGCTTCTGCAGCTATGGTTTAGCAGCCATCATGGGAGAGGATGGCATTCACCAAAGACAGGAATATCCCCGCTCTTATTCAAACACAGCTGAAAGAGCAATCTGGTGCTAGCTTAACATCCCAAGAAAGAAGGAGGAAGAATTCCTTTATGAGCAGCAGAAATAGGGGAATACAGAAAGCACGAGGAGTCAAGTACATGTGGCGTGCTGGAGCTGGGTTCCAAGGCAACTCCTGGCTCCTGGGAGAGGTCATTCCAGTCTGCCCACCTCTGTGCCTCCTCCATTAGGAATTACACATGCTGCCTTAAGCAGTTACGATCTCTCCAGTGGAAAAGTGGCCATGGCTCATCCCATTCTCTCCCATGAAGCATCCTTAATGAATGCTTTTATTGCACAGCAAGAATCTCAGGGCAAAGTATAATGCATTTTTAGGCAGGCAGGCAAAAAATACCCACAACACCACAAAAGCAACATTCCTATGGCTTTACACTTGAAACAACTGCACACGGGAGGGTCAGGATTCAACTGGGTGGAAAACACTGGTGTATAGATACACATTACCAGGCTGGGAGCCAACATCCTGAATATGGCTCTGCACAAACCAGGAGGCCAGCATAGGGGAGGGCAGGAAATCCCTGCAGGAGATGAGGCACACCACCGAGGCTGGGAATCTGGTTTTTTCCCAGGAGATGGCACTAAAGGACGATTGCCTTTCAGCCCGCATAGTGCAATGCAGCAGGAACTTCGCTGAGGGCAGGTAGGCAGTTTGTGCCATCTGTGCAAGTCGCTCCTTGTTATCAGAAGCAAAGCTTTAAAATTCTTAGCGTCTGTGCTTTTAGCAAGGTTGAGGACATCAGTCTTTACATCTCCATAGAGTGGGTAAATACAAGGTTTCTGCTTATAGCAGGAGCAGGATCCCACAGTTAGGTATTGAAAAGCTGCTGTCAGGTCCCTCCTAAGCCTTCCCTCCTCCAGCTCCTCCTGAGCTTTTCCTGGTAGGTGCTGGTTCAGTAAGGAGCATCACCCTCTCTGAGCTCAGCCTAGGCTTCACCTTAAAACAGTCCCGGCAGCCTTATACTACTTCCTACAAGGGTAATGAAGAGGTGAATTTTATTCCTTTACTTTCTTTTAATTTGATTATCTCTGCTAGTCTCCAAGCTCTTTAGGCTCCTTACTGGTCCTTGAAGACAAAGCATACCCTGTGCAGGTAACTGCAGTAACTTGGTACACACTTTAGGACCATTTTTTTTCTCAGAAGAAAACCCATGGCCACCTAACAAGGAAACCATGGTACAGAAAAGGAGACCCCAAAAGGAGAGCACCCCAATGCAGAACCTGCCCCCTTGCCAGTCATACAGACAGGCAGATGACAGAAAGAAACCCCTGTCCATAGCAGAGGTTTGGAACTGATGGTCCTTTCCAACCCTAGATATGCTATGATTCTATGATTCGTGCTTGAAGTGAGCCTTGGCCTGGCACTGGAAGCAGCAAAGCAATGTGTGGCTTTCCTCAGATACAGTGCTTCAAAAGGAAGCTGTGCAAGAGAGCTTCCTTGCTGCTAATGTTGCAGGACAAAGGACAATAGCTGTGAGACCTCTGCCATTTCCTCAGAGCCTATGGTAAGCCAGAGCTGCGATTAAGTGCTCTGGCAAAACCAGCAGAAATAAACTTAATTCAGCTTTGTGACTCACTGAGCAGGCACTAGGAATAGCCAGGGATTTAAGAGTGACTGGCAGTGTTCAAGGCCAGGTTGGATGGAGCCTTGGGTGGTATTGTGTGAGGTGCCCCTGCCCATGGCAGGAGGCTGGAACTGGATGATCTTAAGGTCCTTTCCAACCCAAACCATTCTATGATTCTATAAACTTGCCAGGCTGTTGGGTTAGTGGAGTTCATTCCTGAGAGCAGCTTGGATGAACTGACTACTTCTTGCCATTCTGCACATATTCAGCTGCCCAGACGTATTTAACCTGCTGTTTGTTACAGAGCATGGTGAAAGGTGGGTAGAAATCTGAAGGGAACCAGACAGCACAGTAGCACACCACTAAAAATCATGCGAAGTGATTGGTGGTGGTGCCAAGCAAGTGCCTGAAGGGAGGAACATATTTCACTCAGGTCAAATGTCAAGTCAGATCTTCCCTATGTACCTTTTGTTCTGTAATATCCACCCCATCCTACCTTTGTGTATGAGAGGGCTGTTTTGTTCCTCGAAGATAAACTGCAGACAAGCCCATTTTAACAAAAGAGCCTGCCTGTTTCCATGGGTTGAAAGCTCTCCCTGCTGGGATCCTCCTCCAAGGCCAGCCTGCCAAGAGCATGTAAAGCCCATGCAGAAACCAAGAGTTAATCCCAGTCTGCCCTCCTGCCTTGACACACTTTCAGGGATGCCCTGAGCCCAGGCTCCTCATCACTCACTGTCCTCCAAGTCACTCCCAACTGCTGTGCTGCAGATGGAGGTTCCCACGTCTCACTGACTGAGCAGCATGACCTGCCTCCTGATGCTGAGTTACTCAGGGAATACTTCACCATCTCTTACATCCCAGAGACCACATTTAGCAACAGCACTGCAGGATCTGCCCTGTCCCACGTGTCTGTGTTGTAGCTACACCCAACCCGGCACAGCAGAGATGCTGCCACAATTGACAGGAACCACAGCCCTCTGCCATCCACCCTGCTGGACCTCACTGCTCAGCTTCACATCCTCTCAACACTGCTGTGTGAGCTGGGCTGGTGATGAGCAGCAAACCCCCCTGCCAAAGCTTGGCCTCACCAGCTGAGCAGTGGATCACTGCCCAGGGAGAGCTGATAAGCAGCACTAATTGGTAGCCTCAGTTCATTCTGAGATAGGAAAATATGCTGCATGAATCACCAGGTGTTTATAGCAACAGCACAGGAGGATACTTGCTTGCTTTTTCTTTCTCTGTCCTCTTTCTTCATTTCTGGTCTGTTTTAGAAACACTGTTCAGCAGAAGCTGCCTCATCCATATGCATGAAGCTTTTCTCAGGCTCACACAGAAACACCATTTCTGTATCACTCAGGTTCTGTATGGATGGGAGCCAGGTTATTCCCTTAACATTGCACCAGGTAAGCAGAGACCATAGGTCAGCAGGCAAAAGTCAGTGAAAACCATTGCGCTAATGGTTCACAAGCTAAAGTGCATGTTTACCTTTGGTGGAAAGTCCCTGCACTAACGGGTTGGACCCCTGGTGTTGCAATAAGGGAGCAGCCTTTCTGTTCACAGGACACACAGTTGAATAGATGGGACACTCATTTCACACAGGAAAAATGGAAACACAAACCCTCCCTGCACTGCCTTAGTAACTGAAAAAAGGAGCTCTAATGATTCAGGCTGTAAAACAGAGAGTGGTGTAATGAAATTTGAAGTTAACCCTAAACAATGCAGGCTGGTGTGGCACATGGGTGGTAGTACAGCTCTGTTCCTACTGCAAAACACCCAGCTGTTATCAATACCCTCTGCCATGCTGGTGGGGCACGTCAGGACAGGTCTGTCATAGAATCATGGAATCGCAGACTGGTTTGGGTTGGAAAGGACCTGAAGATCATTCAGTTCCAACCCCCTGCCATGGGCAGGGACACCTCACACTAAACCATGTCACCCAAGGCTCTGTCCAACATGGCCTTGAACACTGCCAGGGATGAAGCATTTACCACTTCTCTGGGCAACCTGTGCCAGTGCCTCACCACCCTCACAGTAAAGAACTTCCTCTTTATATCCAATCTAAACTTCCCCTGTTTAAGTTTTAACCCATCACCCCTTGTCCTATCACTACAGTCCCTGATGAAGAGTCCCTCTCTGGCATTCTTGTAGGCCCCCTTCAGATACTGGAAGGCTGCTCCCTATGAAGAAGCTCAAGAGAAACAGCTAAAGGTATAAATCAGTGAATGAAATCTCTTTGTGGCTATTCCTACCCCAATTTGTTCAACATTATATCCTCATCTCCACACCTTGCCTTTCCTGCCATTCCCTGTGGCCTGGCCTACAACCATGTCCTAGCAGAGAGCCAAGGCTGAGGGCAGAACAACATGGGGAAGTTTACATTGCAGCTTCCCCTTGCTGCTGGGAAACTCCTCCTCTCTGTGCTGACTTACGTGTGAAGGTAAACACAGGGCATTGATTACACTGCTTTTATTTACAGTCCACTTACAGCATTAAAAATACCGACCTCGTTTTCATTTGTGACACTTAGAAGCAATACAGCGTGGTCTGCTGAGACATGCAAACCCCTTCATTCAAAAAAGGCAAAGAAAGCAAATGAGCAGCACTTTTTACCATATAAGTCAACTCCTTGATTACAAAACCAGTATCAAAACTATACTGATATTATAGAAAGATCTGTAACACACAGAAAGTGCTAGCAGGAAAATCACTGACTGCTACCACAAAAGACTGATAGAAAAAAATACCCCAAAACCCCAAACTCCACAGAATTCTGAAGGCCCACAAGCCCCATTGTTCCTGGGTCATCCATACAATCATATACAGGGTTTATATCCCTAGAGGGTCTTCATTGCACCACTGAGCTGAGCCATCTGCTGTTGGCATCTCTAGCTACAACATCCACACATAGAAATGAAGATGGAGCTGGCAGGATTTTTGGTCCCATTCTTATACAGAATGGTTGTACATTCTTATACCAAAGGCTGTATGCAGTTCTTTTCAGATGCATCTGATAATCTGGGTTTTTCTTTTCCTGGTGAACACCATAGAAACTGAGTGTTCTTATGCCCCAGCTTCCAGAATCAGGTATGTCAGATACAAACTGTTCTCAGTAAAAATAATACATTCGGATTTCACAGCAGCAGAGAAAAAGCTTAAAACACCAATCACAGAGAACTTTTAATGCCCCTGGATCAGAAAACAAACACATCTCATTTCCTTTCTGCATTTTTAGGTCAGTTTTAACATTTAACGGCTCATGATGCCCAGTGTTTGGAATCAACAATAGTGATGCAGCAAAGCTCTCCATGTCTTAGGCCATAGTCCATTTATAGCCAAGTATATTTTTAATATACTCATAATCTTAACCCACCAAAACAACCTCAGAAAACCAAAGACTGCCTTTTCCTGACCCCTTGTTATCTGCTTCCTCCACTGCTTTGACAACTCCTCTCACCGGCCACACTCTGATCTCCACCTCCCCATCCTCTATTTTCCTGCATTTCTCTTTCCCTCACCTACTTGCTTTCCCCCCGTCCTTGGCTCCCTTCCACACACAGCACAAAGCTCTAGAAAACCAGCTCCTGTCCCAAAACAAACTTCAGCTCCATTAGTGGAAGATTATTTCCTAATCCTTGTATTTCTTTGACTCGATCTGATTTAATGCCGTATTTGCAGAGAAGAGCGCTCAGTCCTGGGTCTCCTCAGGGCTGGTGGAGAGGCTGGGGCCATTTGTCCAAGAGGTTTCTCAGATGCAGGGCTGAGATTAACCCTAAGTGGCCTCATGTCCTTGCTGATGGGGCTGCACTAGCGGACGAAGGATGCCACTTGAGCTGCCACTCCAAAGGGAGCAGAATAAGCCGATGCTAATCCTTGCAGGCCGACCACCAAGTAGCGGCATCCCTTCTGCAGAGCTTTGCCGACGTTCTGTGGAGAGAAAGGGGATAAAACCCCCAGAAATTAGAGGAAATACCTTCACATAAAGTCATTCTGACCCAGAAAATCAACTTCTCCCCCAGCTAATGAGGGCTTGAGCACAGAGCAACATTCACCATCTATTTTTATATAGGAATACACACCCACAGAGCACAGTGTAACCGAGCGGATGCAGCCTCCACAGGAAGCCAGGCTTCATCGTGGGCTTCTAGTCAAGAACAAAATTAGCTGAAATTCACACCTAGTTTATAGGAGTATGTGTTTCACACACACACACATGTGCTAAGTATGTGGGCACATAGGCTGTTAAAACTGGTGCTGAGCAAGAAGGCAGTAAAACACTGAGAATACTTCTATGGGAATTTCATAGAATCCCAAACTGGTTTGGATTGGGAGGGACCTTAAAGCTCACCCAGTTCCAACCCCCCTGCCATGGGCAAGGACACCTTCCACTAGAACAAGGTCAGAAGGAGAAATCCTGCTTTGGATTCTTATTGCTTTTTGTCAAAAAGACTTTTATTTTTTGGTCAAAATGAGAATGTTTTGAGCCACTTTCACACCTATACACATTTAAGAACTCATCTGTGTACTGCATTAGAGAGAACTTGCTACAGATTATTTAAACTAAAAACTTAATCTAATTCTAATTTCACTCTTGTTTGTGCTCACACAGTTGGTCATGACGGAATTAATACAACGTGGTTAGCTTGGGGGGACTATCAGCACAGTAACCCTTTATGGTTGAGTGGGACTAGATCAAAATCATTCCCTGCAATACGGAAAACGCTGAAACAGAGGATATTATTTTAAATAGGTGAAATCCAGTCTATATCTACTATATGCTTAGGATTCTTCCCTGTGAGGGTGCTGAGGCGCTGGCACAGGGTGCCCAGAGATGTTGTGGCTGCCCCATCCCCGGCTGTGGTCAAGGCCAGGTTGGATGGGGCTTGGAGCACCCTGCTCTAGTGGGAGATGTCCCTACCTGTGGCAGGGGGTTGGAACTGGACCAGCCTTAAGGCTCTGCACTGTGAGCAGCTCACCTTCAGGTGTTGGTCTTCACTGCCAAAGCCAAAGTGGCCAGCCTTTCCCTTGGGGATGTCGTCTGAGTGATATGAAAGGGAATACGCAGTGTCCAAGAACTGCACCATGTGTGTGACATCAGAATCACCGTGTTGGAAACTTGAAGTATCAAATCCATCATGAAAGAAGGAAATACTCTGTTCCTCTGTAGGAAACAGTGGAGCAGCTCATGACTGTGCTGTCAACTGTAGCAGTACCTTTGCTAGGCTATCTGGCCTTTTCTGCATGTCAGACATAGCTGGCATATCTTTACCAAAATCATCATTTCCTTAAGGAATGCAGTAGAAAGTCACGTCTCGTACTGACAGCTGTGATCTCTCCGACAGGAAAAGATTCCCGACAGCAGACAGTTTTTTCCTGCTAACACAGACATTATTTTTTGCTACAAACACCCAAAACATACCTGAGCTGTACTGAAGAGACATGAATGAGAGAAAAATAACCAAATTCTGCCAAATGGCACTTCAGCAACCAAAGGCACCCACCTTTCAGGGGCAAAAAAAGCTGTAAACCACCAGGCTGCCAGAATTCTGACTGTCCCACAGGAAAGCAAAAGAACAATTCTGACCCAAAATAGCTGTTACACAATGAAAAACATGTCGCTTTTTCCTCTTAACCCGTGCTAGTGATTCTGAGGAGCCACTTAGAAGGTAAAACGGCAAAGGCATGCACCGGAGGGGTGGTAGTACCCTGTCTTGCAGCCCCTTAAGAAAGCAGGCCAAACAGCTGGAAGTTTTAAGGAACAGTGTCAAAACAGTGACGCCGAAGGAAATACGGGACAAAGGCAAAATACCCGTCACATGGATCGGCTTAGTGCCGTTTTGAGTGCGGAACAGCAGATTTCCTCCTCTTTGAACCTGGCGGGGGCCGAAGTCCTGCCCTCCCCAGCAAGAGCAAGACCAGGAGCGGGCTGACACCCGCCTCAGCGCTGAACACCGGCACCTAAAAGCCCTGAAGGACAAGGCACGGAGAAGCCGGTGCCGCTGCCCGCCGCTCTGCCCTCACCTTGCCGTACTTCTTGAGCCGCTTCCCGTAGTGCCGCTTGCCGGGGGCCCGCGGCGGCCGCAGCGGCTCGTAGGGATCGGGCAGGAGGGCGAAGCGCACCTTCCTGCGGCCAGCGCCTTCTTCCTTATCCTTATCCTTCTTCTCCTCCTCCTCGGGGGCCCCCGCGCCGCTCCCCGCCGCCTCCTCCTCCTCCTCCTCGCCACCGGGCAGGATGCTGACCTGGTCGTCGCCGGTGCCGCGGCGGGAGAAGCGGCTCCGCGCTTTGTCGCCCAGCCGCGCTCCCACCGTCATAGTGCTGCTGGTGCTGGTGCTGGTGGTGCTGGTGCTGGTGCTGCCGCCCCGTCTGCGCCCAGCGCTTCCCCCACCGCAGGTGGGGCCGGAGGCGGCCGCTGCCCCCTCCCCGGGGCGGGACGGCTGCGGGAGGAGGCGAGCAAATCCCCGCAGTGCCCGTGGATACCGGTAACGTGGGACCCGCCGCGATCGACGGCGGGGGAAGCGTGGGCCCAAAGCTGCCTTCTCAAGGGGAGGTGTTGTGCCCACATGCGGGGCAGGCGGACGGCCCCTCCACGTTTAACTGGCTGCAGTTTAACTGCTGAGCTTCCCATGAGGCGTTTGTGGAGGTGGGGTAGAGCACAAAAAGCGAAATTGTATAGGGAGGATGTAATCTATTAAGCCAGGTGGTGTATTTATCAACACAGATGCTTCAGGTGCATTAAGGGGACAGACTGGTCCTTTACTGCGGATTTTAGGATCATGGAATCAACTGGGTTGAAAAGACCTTTAAGATCATTGAGTTCAACTGTTCCCCAGCACTTCCAATGCCACCACTAACCCATGTCACTGAGGGGCTCATCTACACAGTGTGTGAGCATTTCCAGGGGCGGTGACTCCAGCACTGCCCTGGGCAGTCTGTTCCAATGCCTGAGCACCCTTTGGGGAAGGAACTGTTCCTCACCTCCAGTCTAAACCTCCCTAAATATTTTCCCTATCGAGGAACAAAGCCTTGAATCCGTGTCTCTCCAAGACCCGCCCTTAACATTCAGCAAGTGAATCCTGCACCCAACATGGTCATTGGCCCCAAGGCTGGGTGTCACCATTGTCACAGCTCCAGCAGGAAAGCTGTGTGAGCAAGAGCCTGGTCAGTCCTCTGAAGGGTGGGGATATGAGCCAAGTCTCAGGCCTGTCGCTATGTGAAAAGTGCTCTATCCCTTCCCCTGGTTTGTCTTAAACACATTAATGCTTATTTCCAAAAGGCTGAGGTGGAGACCTAAACCCAGGACAGGATAACTGGTCCCAAACAGACTCCTACCATGGTCCATGCATGGCCCTTGGAGCTTGTTCTTCTTCTGGGCTCTGGTGCCTGTCTCTGAGCTACCCAGTTCTCTTCCCCAACTCAAGGAGCCAGATGCTGAGCTTGCCTTTGTCCTGGAGCTGCAGGGCTCTCCTAAACACTGCAGACAGTGAAACAGAGGTGACACCAAAGGTCCTGTCCCAAACACCTATTCTAACAGTAATGGCATGGTGTAGGAGTTCCATTTTGCCTGCTCTGATATGTTGCTGTAGATTTTAATGTGCCACTTTCTAAGATAGTTTGAGGGATGAAGTAATTGCTTGATGCTGATCAAGTAGCAGCATCAAGAAATAAAGTACCAGCTGTTTAATGCTGAATTTTGCCAATTACAACCTCAAGCTACCTTGAGAAGTGGTAAACTCTTTTTCTGGGGCTTTGAAAAGTGCTTAGGTCAAGGTTTCCTATTTATAGACCCATTACTGAATGTACTCTTTGTCCCCAAGCAAGAAGCACAGAGATAGTGAAAGATAATCTGTTTTCTCACCAGGGGCAGCTCTTCCTCCACAGCCTGGGTTTGTACCTAGTACCTCTCAGATGCATGACGCTGGGTATCAAAAGGCTCACGTCTGACAGCTCATGGAATGTAACCAGCACTGGAACACTCCAGCATTAACGACACCACTTGATTCACAAGGAGTGAACGTTTGTAGTCCTTCCCTTGACCTATGTTCATGTTAATGTTTGAGATCCCTTTTCATGCACTCCAATTTAGTTAGTTTGGAACTGTCTGTATACCCTAAAGAAAGAAATGAAGCAAAACCCCAACCCAAACCAGCGGAACCATGCACTAGTCTAACTGCTGACCCCCAAACACCCCCGAGAAATGCTGCCAAGGAATTACAACCAACTGCATAAGTCCTCTGTAGACCCAAGGCATTCCTTCCCCTCCCTGGAGCTGTGGAACATGACTTGGTGTTTTAACTGTCTGTCAGCTTTGGCAAGTTAATGCCACACTGATCCCCTCCCACATGACAGTCGAAATGCATTTGGATCCAAATGTTCTCATCCCACTCTTACCCCCAGAGTAACTTAGACATAACAGGTACCTAACAAGACTGTTACTGAGGGACCCAAGAACACCCCAGGCATTGAGGGTTCACTAATAGCCCACTGATTTCTATACCAAGTGTGCTCTACTTGCCAATAAACCCACCAGTTCTGAAACCTGGATCTTCCCATCTTATTCCTGCCAGGAACAGGAGGTTTGGGAAGCCAAATGATGCCTTTGGGTGCAGCTACACCATTCACAACTCATGCTCATGCTGAAGAGAGCAGAGAGCATAAGGTGGGGCAGAGCTTGTCTTCCAACAATGGAAGGCAGAAGGCGAGCAGGGCTGGGGAATCAGGGAAGTTCACGCAGTTGGCCATTACTGGAAATAATGCCATTAAACTGGCACTTTAGGTATCATGTTTCATATGAGCGCTGAACTGAAACACAACCTCCATCCTCTGGAAATGGTACCTGTGTTTTGGGGAATACGAACACATCTCTGGTCCCATGAAGCACTGAAGCTCAGTGCCAATCTAGGGCAGAGTCAGCTGGGTAAAACCACGGCTCAGGAAGCCACCCTGAGCCCTTAATCTACCCTCTCACAGCATGACCTATATTTTTGAAATTGCCTGAAAGGCAAAGGGTTTTGTTCCAGGACTAAGTTTATACATGATCTTGGATTAACAGTGGTGTATTTTCAAAGATAATTGAACATGGGATGGAGTATTGGGTGACATGGTTTAGTGCAAAGCATCCCTGCCCATGGCAGGGGGTTGGAACTGGATGATCTTAAAAGTCCTTTCCAACCCAAACCATTCTATGATTCTATGATTCATGGACCCCTTACCCTGTCTTTCCCACTGAGAGGTACTAAACCACACTGCAGGACCCCAGAACCAATGCAACACTAACCCTAAATTCACAGCGTTGAAGACAAAGCCTGTACCCCTTGAGCCTATTTTGCTCCCTGCAGTAATCACTGCGGTTTTATAAAGGGCAACCAACAAGTAGTTTAGTATGAGAACTGTTCAAGTAAGTTTTAATAGAGTGCACCAGTGAATCAAGATGACTTGCATCAGATTTTGTTTCAATGAACATCAGATAAAAAAAGAAAAAGAAAAGGGGCTACAGTTCTTTCTTTCCAAACACCACCCTTTTTTCTAAGGCAACAATACACGTCCATTTCAGAACATAACCGTTACATAGGAAAGCTACATCACAGTACAGCATGTAAAGTCCATCTCGGTCAAGAAGCCATTAGAGAATGGCACATTTACTACACTTACAGCCTTCTAACTTAGGGTTACAGAGTTTACCACAGAGGGTTTTTTTTTATTCTTTTAATTTTTTTTTTTTAGTTTTTATTATTTTAAAGTGACAGTTTCTTAATGAACTTTCTATTCTTCACAAGAGTGTGCAGATGGGGCCCTTACCTTGATATTACAGTAATTACGACATTAAATAACATTGCACAACCAACCTCTATGGTTAATTCAGTACAAAATAACAAGTATTAAAATGTACCAGTACTAGTGGTTTTACATAGTTTATAATCATTAATTATGAAGGAAAAAAATGTGTGGGGTTGTCTTTTTTTTCTTCTTTACCATAGGCAAGTGCCTAATTACAAAGCTGCACATTACAGGCATAATGATGTGGAATAAATACAAGAAATCTGGTAAAATATTAAACACAAACAGGTTACATGGGAACAAACTGTACAACCACGAAAGCATAAATCAACAATTTATCATTATAAACAATGTATGTTTAGCTGTAAAATATCCTGTGGAATTGCATGTACTCTTTGGAGGGGGGGCACATGTTCCAAAAGCCAAGCTAATTCCTGAGGTGGTATTATTAACTGAAACAATTGGTCAACACTTCAGATTATCTTGTGCTATTAAACAGTCCCAATATTAATATATTTCCATAAAATGGAATTTATAGTATTCTGAAGGCAGCAAAAAACAAGTGATACTTTACACCATGAGACTCAAATAAATCATTATGGTTCTCCATTGTGGTGCTACACTGGTTGATGGGACATGGGAGTAAGCACTGTAACTTACAGACAGAACATCACTTACACTTGGTTTCTGTTCCCCCACAATTCTGAGCTGGCCCAAGGCAGAACAAAGGATTTTAACTGTAAGTGCCAACACTGTAAACATGTTTGTAGTTTGTTTGTTTTTCAACTAACCACCACCCGATAACAAGGGTAATAAGAGCCTAAGATAAGCAGGAACAGTCTAGTGTAGAACAAAAGCTGGTTGTTCATCAGCTTTGGGTTCACATCATGAACAATCTTTAAATAATTAAAAACGGTCATGCTACAGTTGTCAAAACTATTTTTGTGCATCTGACTCAGGAGAGAAGTTGTTTAAAAAACACATGACAGAGGTAAGACTTATAAAAACCACCAAAAATGTAAATGATAGGGAAGAACTTTTCCAACTCAAAGCATCAAACATACATTTCTGTGCAGAAATCTAGACAACTATACAAGATCTGAATTTAAGCAGTCATCTTTTTATTATACAACTCTATGAACATAAAATGAACAGAATGCTCTATATACTTACCTGTACATGTGAACATAACTTCTTTAGCTACAGTTATTTAATATAGGTCATACTGGATTTAACTTTACAATTCTGAATAACTATGTATAACCTTATTGCAATAAGGGCAATTTCTACATGGGGAGTTTCACAGGCCAATCACATTAGGCGTAACCAGTACATTCAAAGTGTAGATCATGTATGAATCTTCCCTGATCCCAAAAAATTTAGGTTCTCTTTACAGCTTAAGCTCGTTCGCTATCTTGGATGCAATGTTCTTAAATGCGATAGAAGTCCCCGATATTCTTTTGAAGCGAACTCCATTGAGCGACAACCGCGGCAGTTTGCAGACTTCCATCTCCCACTGAACAAGGCTATCTTGTCGTGCA